GGGGCCGACCTCGACTCGCTGCGGGCCACGGTGAAGATGCTTGATGCCACGACTCGTGGACGGTCGCTGGCGTCCCTCCTCATCGCCATCGCGGCGGGCGGCACGTGGCCTGGCTCGCGTCTCGAGGAGTCCTTCGACGACATTGACGGTCAGGACACCTGGTGTCCTCGGTGCCAGTCTTGCGTCGAGACCCCGATGCATCGACACTGGGAGTGCAGTGCCAACATCGGGTCCAAGGCGTACAAGCTGAGCGGGCACCTGGTGGGCAGGGCCATGGCTGAGGGCGACGCCTACCCGTGTTTCTGGTTGCGCGGGGTGATCCCTGCGGCTTGGGCGGCAGTGCCCGAGCCTATGGATCATGATGATTGGAGCTACCTCGGCGTGGCCAACCTTGACGACGCGGTCCTCGGCACGGGCACGCTGCACCAGCCGCTCGCCCTATTTGGTGACGCTAGCGGAGGGGCCGACTCCAAGCATCCGCGACTTTGTCGGGTCGGTGTTGCAGTATGCCGGGTGTCCGCTGGCGCCGTGGACGTGGAGGCTGCTATCTTAGGGCCGCTGTCTGGCCCGCGCCAAACAGTTCATCGTGGTGAACTTCGGGCCTTGGTGCTAGCCGCGGGCCACTCCCGTGGGCCGATTGTTTTCTTCGCGGATAATTTGGCCGCGTGTGATGGCTGGTGGGCTCGATTGGACCAACGGCCTACTGGTCCCGACAGCGACTTGTGGTGCGCTTTGTCGCGCATCTTCCTGCAGCGGGATCGTAGCGAGTTCTCTGTCGAGCACGTCAACTCGCACCTCAGTGCCGCGGAGGCGGCTGCTCGAGGAGTACCTGCAGAGGTGTTGCGAGGCAATGCCATGGCCGACGTCTGGCGGGCCATGCTGCCAAGCAGTGCCGACTACCAGCGGATGTTCGAGCGCGTGTGCGTGATGTGAAGTACATGGCCGCCATGGTCCGGTGGAGGCTATTGCGTTCGACGCTGGGCGCCGCGGCGGCTCGGGGCGCCGGGCCGTCCCAGCGCAGGAAGCGTCGGCCACGGCGCGTCCCACCAGCGCCACGAGTGGCAGCGGCCTTTTCTTCCCAGCATGTGCTTCATGCGGATGGTCGCAGTTGCCAGCGATGCCGTTGTTCCGCAGGGCACTCCACCCAGACCGAGTGGCTCTCCAGGTCGTGTGGGGGCTTGGTCGATGCGGAAGCTGGACTGGCCAGGTTGGGGCCCATTGCTGGAGGTGTTGATGGTGTTCTCAAGATTGCCGATCAGGATGTGGACAGCTCGCGCACGATGAGGTGGCATCGAGATCTAGATGTATGGTTCTGCCGAACATGCGGGTGTTTCGCGCGTCCTGCCCTTCGCGCCCTGGGTCGTGGGCTGCTGGCTCCGTGTCTCGGACGACCATCTGACACGGGAAGCGTGTACTTGGACAGGCTGAGTAGGGGTCTTTGGCCCGAGGTGGGCGCACTTCAGGGGTACGTCGAGCAGTACTTGGACCTTGGCGATGATGAGCACCTTCGAGGGGCCAGCCCTGGAGGACAGGTTGCACGGTCTGGTGCTCAGCAGGCGCGAGTGGCGAGCAGGTGGCCCAGAGCCTCGGCACCAGGACGGAGGCGGTGTCCGCGGCCGAGCTCCTGCAGGCCCGAGGGGCTCGCGCTGAGGCGACGGGCGGCCAGGCCCACTGCTGACGGCGCGGGCTTGCGGTGGGGCCGCGGGCGCAGCCCTGCGTCAGGCCCCGCAGTCGAGGGCGGGGCGAGGCGACGCCCGCGCTCCACCTCGGGGCCTGCGCTGAGGGCGACCTGCGCGAGGCTTCTGGCGGCAGCTCGGCGCCCGCTGGACGAGGTCGACGGGCCAGCTGGCAGCGTGGTGGCGCCAGCTGGGTTGGGCGCGGAGGCGCCTCCCGTTGGAGCAGTCAGGCGGTGTCGGAGCGCTTCGCCGTCCGGAGCTTCGCGGGCGACGCGGCCTCGCGTCGAGCCTCGTGCGGCCCCAGGCGGCGGTGCCATTTTCAGTCCCCGCGCCGACCGCAAAAGGGCACCGGGCATTGGCGATGCGCGGGCGGCATGCCCAGCAGGGGCTGCTGGCGCTGGCGCGGGCGCCCGCGGAGGCGCTGCTGGCGGGGCTGCCGCTGGCGTGGGCGGCCTCCCCAGCCAGAGAGGTGGCGAGAGGAGCGACCCAGGGGGGCCAGTCCCGATGGGAGCGGCCCCCCAGGGTCCAAGTTGCGGATCAGGCAGTTGGGGGCACCCTGCGATAAATTGCCCCAGCGACCGACTTGGAGGACGACATCCTGCGCGCCAGCTTGGAGCGCACGGGTGTCCTCGCCAGTTCGACGTCGTCGAGCCCGTCGAGCAGGTGAGCTCCGTGGACGCGGCTGGCGGCGTCGGCAGCGTGTGGCCGACCGTCGGAACCGTGGGCGACGTGGAGGTCGGGTCGGCCTTCGGCGACTACGACGTGGCGGTCTGCGAGGACCTCAAACAGGGCCGCTCCGCCGAGCGGCCGTGGCGAGGCGTGAGGCCGCGTCTGCTGGGCACCGAGGCGGTGGCGCCGCCCGCGGCTCGGCGCAGGCGGGCCCTCTCGCCTCCTGGCGAGCGGCGGGGCCAGAGGGCGCGGCTCGGCGGCGTGGAGCTGCCGCCCGCTCCTGCCGCCCCGAGCCTCGCCGAGCTGGTGCGGCTGGCGGCGGGGGCGCCGCCCGTGCGGGGCCGCGCGGCTGGGCCTCGCTGGGCGGCCTGAGCGCCCGCCGCGGCCCGCGGCCGAGGCCCGCCCCGCGCGCGGCTCGGCCGTGGGCGTTCGCCCGACGGGATCTCCCGCCACGTCCCCCTGTGGGCGGGAGACGGTCGTGGCTACGCTCCGCCCGTGCGGGCGGCCGAGGGGCGCGTGTCGCGCGAAGTCCCCACGGACTTCAGACGCTCGCCTTCTTGGGTCCGAATGCTCCGAATGCTCCTCCCCGCCTCCCTTCTCCTCCTCCTCCTCCTCCTCCTCGTCCTCCTCCCCGCCTCCCTTCTCCTCTCCTGTCCTGTGCGCCTGGTGGCTTGCCTGTGGGGCCTGCGGAGTGTGAAGCTGGCATACCTTGGGCGCTGCGATCTGCGAAGCTGTCGCCACTTTCGAGGGCTGCTGGGGGGGCCAGCATAGTGGGTTCCCGCCGCGGATTCAGATGCGACCTCGCCATCCCTGGGGGGCTACGATTTGCGAAATTGCCGCCATCTTCGAGAGCTGCTGGGGGGCCAGCATAGTGGGTACCCGCCGCGGATTCAGATACGACCTCGCCCTCCCTGGGGGGCTGCGATCTGCGAAACTGCCGCCACCTTCGAGGGCTGCTGGGGAGACCAGCATAGTGGGTACCCGCCGCAGATTCAGATACGACCTCGCCATCCCTGAGGGGCTGCGATCTGCGAAACTGTCGCCACTTTCGAGGTCTGCTGGGGGGGCCAGCATAGTGGGTACCCGCCGCGGATTCAGATACGACCTCGCCATCCCTGAGGGGCTGCGATTTGCGAAACTGTCGCCACTTTCGAGGTCTGCTGGGGGGGCCAGCATAGTGGGTTCCCGCCGCGGATTCAGATACGACCTCGCCATCCCTGGGGGGCTGCGATCTGCGAAACTGTCGCCACCTTTGAGAGCTACTTGGTGGCCAGCGTAGTGGGTACCCGCCGCCCCGCCGAGGATTCATATTAGATCTCGCCATTCCGGGGGTGGGGGGAGGGGGGGGGGCGATCTGCGAATCAGTCGAAATTTTTGGGGCTACCGGAGGAGACCAGCATACTGGGTACCCGCCGCAGACTCGGATTATAGCTCACCGTCCCTGGGCGGCTGCGATGTGCGAAACTGTTGTCATTTTCGAGGGCTGCTGGGGGGTCCCGCGGAGTGAGGCACCACCCAGACTCAGATTAGACCTCGCCATCCCTGGGCGGCTGCGATCTGCGAAACGGTCGCCACTTTCGAGGGCTGCTGTGGGGTCCAGCGGAGTGAGGCACCACCCAGACTCAGATTAGACCTCGCCATCCCTGGGCGGCTGCGATCTGCGAAACTGTCGCCGCTTTCGAGGACTCTTGGGGGGGTCTGGCGGAGTGAGGCACCACCCAGACTCAGACTGGACCTCGCCATCCCTGAGCGGCTGCGATCTGCGAAGCTGTCGCCACTTTCGAGGACTCTTGGGGGGTCAGGCGGAGTGAGGCACCACGCAGACTCATATTAGACCTCGCCATCCCTCGGGGGCTGCGATCTGCGAAACTGTCGCCATTTTCGAGGGCTGCTGGGGGGTTCAGCGGGGGGAGGCACCATCCAGACTCAGATTAGACCTTGCCGTCTTCGAGGGGCTGCGGTCTGTGAAGCTCTCACCACATTCGAGGGCTGCAGGTGATCCAGCGGGTCGCCGTCGCGGACCGCCCGCAGACCTGGCGCGCGCCTCCGAGCGTTTATCTCCCGCAATGAAGAGTGCGGGAAGGAAGCAGGGACGCTGGCGGGCGAGCTAGGCGTCGCTCGTTTCTTGCACTAGCTATTAGCATATTTAGTCTTTATGTCGAGCGCCGCGGCGGCATGACGCAGGCAGCGGTGCATCTCTAGCGCACGGCCGACAAAGGCAACACTCTCCGGTCTCCTCCCGTCACCTTCGTCGTCGTCCTCCGCCCCCTGCCACCTTCCCTCTGCTGCTGCCGCCGCGCTGACGGGTCGCCCCCCCTCCCCCCCCACACGCCCGTGTCCTGCCCTTCGTTCCCGCCCCGCTGTCCTTCTCAAGCCCGAGTGCTCACCCCTCGTCCTTCTGTTGTTGTCCTGTGCACAACATATAACGGCACCTGCACTGTCATTGTCCTGCCAAGTTTGTGCCAACTCCTCTTGCCATTTGATGCGAACGGGTTGGGCACGACACAGGGTAGTTGCTTCACTGTTTTTGTTTCGTCCTCTTTCTCCCTCTCCTCCTCTCTTCCCTCTTGCTGGGGTTCAGGGGCGTTCGCCAGCCTGCAGTGCCCCCCCACCCCCGTCGGCGTCCGCGCCCCAGTCCGCGGCCCCCCGCAGGAGCTGGCGGGGCTGATAGCGCGTCCTCTGGATGAGGAGGCTGGCTCGGTGGGCCTGCCAGGGTAGTGAGACGAGGGGGTGGGAGGAGGAGGGGAGGAGGAGGAGGAGGAGGAGGAGGAGGAGGAGGAGGAGGAGGAGGAGGAGGAGGGAGGAGGAGGAGGAGGAGGAGTAGTGTAGTAGGAGGAGGAGGAGGAGGAGGAGAGGAGGAGGAGGAGGAGGAGGAGATGGAGGGAGGAGGAGGTGAGGAGGAGGAGGAGTAGGAGGAGAGGAGGAGGAGGAGGAGGAGGAGGAGGAGGAGGAGGAAGGAGGAAGGAGGAGGAGGAAGGAGGAGGAGGAGGAGGAGGAGGAAGGAGGAGGAGGAGGATGAAGAAGACGAAGAATAATAACAATACTAATATTCTTATTATTAATAATAGTATTGATAATAATACTTATAATAATAAGAAGAATAATAAGACGAATAATAAGACGAATAATAATACGACTAATAAGAAGAAGCAGAATACGAATAATAATACTAATACTAATCTTAAGACGAACAATAAGACTAACACTAAGCACAATAATAATAGCAAGACTAATAAACATAGGAATACGACTAATACTACTAATAATAAGAATAAGAATGCGAACACTATTAATACGAATAATAGTAATAATAAGACGAATGAGAAGAATACGAATACTAGTAAGAATACTACGACATCTAATACGAATGATAATATTAATACTACGACGAATACTAATCTAGTAATAATAAGAGAAAAAAGAATAATAATACTCAGAAGAAGAATACGAATACTACGAAGAACCATCATAACAATACTAATAAAAAAACACTAATAATACTACTACTAATAATACTACTAATAATACTAATACTACTACTAATAATAATAATACTAAGATTAGTAATAATAGTATTAATAATACTAGTATTAATACTAGTAATAATAATAGTAATAATAATAGTACTACTAATAATAAGAATATTTATAATTATACTAATAGTAATATGAATAATAAAAATAATAATATTACTAAACATATTACTAATAATAATGCTAATAATAATAATGATAATAACAATATTCACAATAATAATATTCATAATAGTGATGATGATGATAATAATAATACTGATACTACGAACAATAATAATAAGAAGAATAGTATGAAGAAGGATAATCATAATACTAAGAAGAAGAATCAGAGGATGAGGAGGAGGAGGAGGAGGAGGCGGAGGAGGCGGAGGAGGCGGAGGAGGCGGAGGAGGAGGAGGCGGAGGAGGCGGAGGAGGCGGAGGAGGCGGAGGAGGCGGAGGAGGCGGAGGAGGCGGAGGAGGCGGAGGCGGAGGAGGAGGAGGCGGAGGAGGAGGAGGAGGAGGAGGAGGAGGAGGAGGAGGAGGAGGAGGAAGGGGAGGGGGAGGGGAAGGGGAATGGAGAAGGAGGGGGTAGGACCCAGTGCCTCGAAGGGAAGAGCGCCAGTTTGCGCTCGGCTGTAATAACATGGCGGTTCATAACGACCCCCCCTCACCCTTCAAGGGGTTCTGTTTTTACCCCCTCTTCGCGCGGGAAAGAGGTAGGGATTGGGCTGGACCCACCACCCCCCTCCCCCTCTTTGGAAAGTGTGGGGGGGGGAGTTCACTCCTCCCCCCCGTGACGGTGGCAGAGTGGGAGACGCACTCCATCTCATGGTGGCAATAGGGGTCGGGTGATAGGGTCAGAGTGTTAGGTTTAGGGTATTCGGGTTAGGGCGTTAGGATCAGGGTGGTAGGGTTAGGGTGCTTAGGTTTAGGGTGTTCAGGTGTCAGGAATAATACGGTCGGGATGTTAGGGTTCGGGTTTTCGGAGTATGGTTTGTACGGACTTGTGTGTGAGGGTTGGGTTTAGGGCGTCAGCCTCATAAGTCGGATGTTAGGGCTAGGCTGTTACCGTGTCAGGGTTAGGGCGTTATGGCTAGGTCGCGTGTGATTCTGGTGTTAGGGTTAGGGTAGTAGTGGTGGGGTTTCGGGCGTTAGGGTTATGGTTAGTGCGTAGGGTTCGTGCGTGTGTGAGGGTCAGGGTTAGGGTGGCATTGTTATTGTATCAGGTTAAGGAAATTAGGTTGACAGCCGGAACTTATGCTTAAGGTGTGTCAGTTAGGGATGTCAGGGTTGGGGTGTCAGCATTCGGGTTTCTTCTTCTCAGGGTTAAGGCGCCATGGTTCGGGTGAGGATGCCCTGCGTGGTGCAAACTGTTTGACATGCAATGCTAAGTCAAGTGGGATGTAACCTGGAATGCACGAGTAAGGTCCCCCACGACTGTGCAGCAGGATGGTTTACAACTGCCTGGCCTCTTCCCGGACGAAGGCCGCCCCACGACTGAAGCACAATTAGCTGCCCCGTGCCAATCCCCGTACTCCCATGGATGCAACACCTGTTAAGATGCGCCTACTACCACGCCTATGCTTTGCAACACTCTCGCCAATACCCTCCACTGCACGGCCTATGGCCACCCATGGC